ATTGTCAAATGCAAGATTTACCCAGCTCCCCAGCCCATAGTCCAGTGCAGTTGCCCACTGAGGACACGGCTCCTCAGCACTCCCTTTGCGGGCTGCAGTCTCCTCGGGTGACTTCTACCTTCTGCCCATGTTACTCATACTTCCCAGACATGCTCCCGCTCACATCACTGTCTGCACATCTGCATCTTAGAGAAACCAGTCTAAGTAGGACTGGGGAAGGAAGGTGGGGAAGATGTAGCTCAGCATCGGCCATGTGTTGAGTGCCCTGCAAATGCTAGTCCACCTCTATTTTACACACGTGGACCCCGAGGGACAAAGGAGACAGGGTACTCACCCACGGTCACTCAGCTAGTAGGTGGAGTGCTCAGGATGGTCATCACCCCGCATGACAGCTCTGGTCCACTGTCTGGACAAGGGCTTCTGGAACGTGGCACTGTTGACATTTGGGGCCGGGTAATATTTTATTTTATTTTTGTTTTGTTTTTAATTTTGATTTGTTCTACTTCATTGTACATGACAGCAGAATGCATTTCAATTCATCTTACCCAAATGGAGTGCAACATTTCAGTTCTCTGGTTGTACACAGTGTAGAGATGCACCATTTGTACCTAGGGTAATGATGTCCACCTCGCTCCACCATCTTTTCTGTCCTCATGACCCCTCCCAACCCTCCCCTTTGCCCAATCCAAAGTTCCTCCATTCTTCCCATGCCCTCCCCCATCATAGATCAACATCCACTAATCAGAGAAAACATTCGGCCTTTATTTTTGGGGGGATTGGCTTACTTAGCATAATATTGTCCAACTCCATCCATTCAAGACCAACAAAGAATGACCCGGAGTTGGAGAGTATTACTGATTACTGTCCGGGTCGTTCTTTGTTGGGGCTTGACCTACGCATTTCGGGATGTTAATCAGCATCCCAGCTGCTGTGCATGGGTCCCCTTAGCACCCCACCTCCTGTTTTGACAACCAAACAAGCAAGTCTCCCCAAAATGCAAGATGCCCTCAGTAGGGAGGGAAGGATTCCCCCAAGAGAACCAGGGGCCAGAGAGCCAGCTTTAATCAGAAAAAGTGCAGGGACAAGGATCTGTGCTGAAGGAGGGAAGCTGAGCGGCCCCACCCAGACAGCCCCAGGTAAGCCGTCACCATCTGTGTCTTCTGACTGCAGCCCTGGCCCACCTTTCCAGTGTGCGGGGCCTGCTGGGATCAATTGTTCCACTGCTGTGCTGGTTAGAAAGTTCTTTCCTACTGAGCCCATGCCGCCTCCTGGTAACTGACTTCATCAGTGAGCCCTGCAGAGCCCTGCAGAGCCCTGCCGAGGGCTTGATCCCTCCTCATGGGCTGGCACTTGAACTATTTGAAAACAACTCATGTGTGCCCGCCCTGTGCACGGCGCCAGCCCCTCCCGGGCCTCTGGGTGTCTTCCCGGCTGCTCGGGCACTGGGAAAATTCACTCTGAACAACAAAGGCAGCGACCACACGTGCCAGGGAACTATTCTTACAGGGACAATGACATCTGGTGGAATAAGTGACAGGAATGCAGGATGCAATCCCAGAAGTGGACCCACGGGGAGCAGAAGGGCGGTAGGATGGCGGAGCAGGAAAATGCCAGGTCTCCCCAGCACCTAAGGAACTGGAGAGAAGACCCCGAAGCTATGGCACCACAACACATCCAGACAAAGCTCTGGAGTTCCAAGAAACTGACATAAAGAGCAAAAAAATAGCAATGGCAGAGAAGTGAGTGCGAAGGTTGGAGTAAGTCAGTATCCATTCAGCTGCTGGTTGAACAGAGCCCTACGTATAATTAGATAATTCCCATTTGCCTGAAGCTTTACTTTACATGACCCATATTCTATTTTAAGGGTTTCCGAGCTCTATTAAGGAGCATGTAATTTTATTCCTTCCTTTAGCTGTCCCTTATTTCATTAAGTAAATCACAGTGGCTTGCTCCTTTTTGGGGGGTGAGTATTTCTGATATCCTATTCCTGCTGCCCCTCTGAAACAGCCCAGATGCAACTCTAAGCCTTTGACTCAAGTCCCTTCTAATGGATAGATGTCCTCCTTCCTTCCTCACCAACATCTTCCTTTCCTCTGGGTAGAGGCTCATGTTATTTCTGGCTGCCCTGATCGGGTCCTGGGCAGAGTCTGCAGCAGACACTCCCCTCCCTTGAGCCTCAAGGAGTCTGGATGATGAGCACAAAGTTTGTAAGTGGGTAAAGACCCCAGCTGCCACACCGCCACTTCTTTTAAAAGTGAAATGGAAGTCCACCTTGAAACCACACCACAGCAGCTGGGCACCCTCCCGGAAGCCTCTGTTCTGCTGGAGTTATATTCATGGATTTTTTTAATGTTTATTTTTTTGGTAGCTGTACACAATAACTTTTGTTTATTTTTATGTGGTGCTGAGGATCGAACCCAGGGCCTTGCACATGCGAGGCAAGCGCTCTACCGCTGAAAGATAACCCCAGCCCCATATTTATGGATCCTTTGAGGGAAATTCCATTTCATGTTGCAAGGTCTCTCTCTCTCTCCCCCCCCCCCCCCCGTGTGTGTGTGTGTGTGCGTGTGTGTGTGTGTGTGTATGTGTGTTGGGGAAGAGAGAGCATGAGAGAGAATATAGCAAAGCAATGTGCCTCTGCATAGTGGCGGGTAATGCTCCCCTAAATAACTTGAGCTTCCACTGGCTGGCTGTTGTTCATGAAAAGCTAATCCTTTCAGGACAGATCTATATAAACATCATGATTAAAGGGTGCCCAGAAACCTCAAATCTCTTCTGCTCCATAAGGTAAAGGCATATCTAACAGAAATCATTTTGAGGGTACTAACAAATAATCTTTTTTTTAAAAAAAACTGTCCAAATCTTTAAAATATATGAATGTACAGTGTAGACACTAAGTAGATTATAGGACTTATTTTTCTGGCTTGTTTTTCAATGTACTGCTGTCTTTTGGGAGGGAATCTGTCATGTCAACTATAATGACAGGGAAGGAGTGACTTTGTCTCACAAGGAAAAGTATAGCAGGTATTTGACTGGAAACAGCTCTTCTTCTCTTGTGTGCCAGATGCAGAAATGTCTTGAACTTAATGTGCTGCATCTCAGGGTGACATGTGGGAATTCCACATGCAGTGTCACACTGCGGTCTCCTCTGAAGCCTGGAGATGACGCTAGCAGTTGATATTGTGTGTGTGAGAGGCTTGGGTGGGTTACGGCTCTCAATACCCAGAGCCCTCCTAGGAGGGGGGACATTATCTGCGCTTTCAACGCAGATCACTTATGGTGGAGCCATCAGATGCAGGCTTCTCACCAGAGCTGAGGGGTCTGCACTCAGGACCTACTGTGTACTTTTCAGTAGCCAGTCCGCTACTTTTTAGGCAGAACCATTAACTTCCTGAAATTGAGGGGAAGTGGGAAAGAAGGAGCAAGTATCTGCAAGAGAAAAAAACTCCTGCGTAGCACAGACTGGTAGAACAGTTTCCACTGGTGAGTGAGTTAGAGAACGGGGGTAAATGTTTGAATGGCTGATTCTAGAGTCAGTGAAAACATCACATTACCTGCACCACAGCCTACTTCCTGTGTGATTCTGATGCCTGGAGGTGAGAGGGGCAGGCCCCCTGTCAGGGTGTGGGATGGAATTCCAGATGCTGCACAGGGCTGGGGTCCTTCTCTGTGTGCCTGTTCACTGGTCAACTCCTCACCTTAATAGCTGGCTTCGGTGTGGTTTTTACATGCTCGGTAGTCATGGGTGGGTTGGGTGTCTGGTTGCCATCCTCTACTGGCTGAGACAATAGGACACAGCGTGTGTAGAATAAACCCAGATGGTAAAAATGGGTAAGGAAAAGCATTTATGTTTTGTGGGAAAGACCAGGGCTGTCACTGTCACAGCATGGAGCCAAGCCAAGTGTTGCAAGTAATTTCAGGGCAAACGAGACAAGGAACACTAAGGCTGAACCCAGGCAGCTTGGGCTGCGCTGACTGGTGGGCACCAGGCAGGGTCTGCAGATGGGCTCCTGCTCTGCCTCAGGGCCCTGTCACTGGCCACCTGCAGCTGCTCTTGGGCTGCTTTTCAATTTCTCCCTGTCTGGATTCCCCACCTGAGACAGGATGTAACAACAGTGCCTGATTCAGGGGGTTGTTGAGAAGGTACACACAGAGCACTACAGCACTGTGCTGGGCAGTGGTGAGCACGGTGGTCCTCAGGCTGCCTTGGGCATTTCTGCGTTGATGCCATAGCCAGGTCTCCTGTGCCCAGGCAGGCGGAGTTCTCGGTGGTTTGTAATCACTTTGGGTCTTCTGTCTCTCACCGTTGCCCCATGAGCAGGGCAGATGCTGTCATCCCCTTTCTGCTGGTGAGGAAATGGATGCTGAGGGGATTAGGTGGCTTGCCAAGTGTGAAGAGTGGGGAGCCAGGCCAGGTTCCTGGCTTGCAGCCCAGTGCTCTCTACCGTCTTCCAGCGGAGCCTCAGATGAAAGTAGAGCAGCCTGGCGCTTGCTCCAAACCCTGGCTTGGCTGCTCGGCCATGATGCCATTACCCTTTATTATCCCCAATGGTATGCAAAGCGGGGCAGGTCTTCTTTATTGGAATTCAGATCCAAAAGTTATTGGAAATGCATTTTTAGATCCCCAGAACTTAGTGATGTGTTACAACACTGGGTGACACTAGAGAATGGCAAAGGTTGCAAAATAACCAAACCTTGCTCTAGCCCCGAGTGACAGTCTTGTTCCCGGGCTACACCTGCTCTGAGTTTGTGTTTCTCCATGTGTGGACTCGGTTGTGTTTCATGTTCTCTCTGTACCTTGCTCTGCAAAGCCAAATGGCAGTTCCTTGGGTGGCTCCTGGCTCTCCCAGGGAACAAAGCTGAAAAGCAGTCGCTCTTTTCGGCTCAGCACATGCTAAGCGATAAGCTACACTCTTTGGATCCTTCAGGGAGAGTCAGACTTTCCTTGGGCCAAGTGACACGGGTCTTGTCCAGTTCTTTCCTCCCAGCAGGCTCCAGCTATGGACGTGTGTCTCAGCTCTGCGCAGCAGTCCCTGTGCCTGGGAGAGGCACCGAACTCCCCAGGTGGCTGGTTGGAGGAGGAGGAGGGGGCTCTCCAGGAAGATGGCACCGGGGGACCCCCAGGAGGTAAACTCCTTTTATTCACTGCCACAGCTTTCCTAACAATGACATTTTCAAGTTAACTTCGGCCGCAAGAATTTCCATTTCCTTTTAACTCTAAATTCTTACCACAATGAAGCATGGTTGACAATGCCTTTGTGTGTAGACTGAAACATCACCCCGATTTTCTCATTCGCTTTATCAAGTCTGCAACTTTGTTTTATCTTGTATTTAAATCTGAGAGTGCCATATGTTTGTAACAAGAACTTTAAAATATAGTTTGTTCTTTGCCGAAATGCATTCCAGCAGTGTGATGGACCCTTGTCAATCACGGTGCATTTCTCCACTAGGACAGCAGAGTGGCAGTGTAGCTGCATTTCTGGGCACAGCTTCAGAAATACATAAATAACAGACATAAAAATGGTATCATAAGAGCCATTTAAAACACAATCATTTATAGAGTACAAATATGTCTTAACTCTACTAAATGAGCATGTTATTTATTTTTACTGACTCATTTACATAAAAATGCAACTCTACCTTCTCTCTCAGATCTGATCTCTGAACTACCAGGCTAGCATAGACAAAATAGATGAAAATATTTAAAGTGCTGCAGTCATACAATTTTCTGTGTTTGTAGAACTTCAGAGGGTCTTATGGGAAAACATTTGTAAGCCAGTGTTTCTTAATAATGTTGATCAGAAAAGTACACCGTTAAGCTCATTCTTTGTCAGTTTACTTACTTGTGAAGGGATGAGCTATGCAAAATCAATCCACCAACTTTTCCTACAGTTCTGAGAGAAAGATAAGTCCCCAACAGGCCGTCCTTGGGAGGAAGGGAGGAAGGTGCACCTGAGCAGAGGGCAGGGGCGCAGGGGCTGGCAGGTGCTGGCTGCTGTCAGTCTCCCACCCCAGTGGCATGCTGGAGATGGCATTGAATTTCAGGAATTCTGGTTGCGGAACATGCCATATTAAAATTTAGAATATATAGACTTAGAATTCAATAGATTATATTAAAGGCAAATGTCTATTAAGAAGCCTAAACAATAAATGCTCAAAGCTCCTCAGCAGTTACTTTACTCCAGTTCACTCTCAGCCATGCTCTTGAGGTGGTTTCTGGGGGCTGGTCTGTGTGCAGGCAATATTGCTGGGCCGTGTGCGGCTGCCTGTATTTCCCCTCAAGTGGCAGAAGTTGAGACTCGGCCACGGTGGGAGTATTTGCACCAGGGCCTTTGCCAGACACTACAAATCAGGGCTTTTTCCGTCTCTCACATGTGGCTGCTCCACCTGCTTCAGCACAGGCGGCCTGTCCTGGCTTCTGCCTCTCAGCCCGCGGGTGAGGAGCTGGCCCTCCTCGGTCACTCAGAAGTGCCGGGCTGGTTTTGTTCAGTGTGCATCGCCTCCTATGACAGAGGCAAGTGAAGGCCGAAAGTCTCCTCCTTACCTGGCAGCCTCTGACCACCCCTGACAGGAGGGCATGTGACAGCAAAGAGCCCAGTCTCAGGCCACACTGGCTATTTATTGCCAGGCACCTACCAGCTCAGGGAAGCTCACCTTTTTGAGATTCCTCTTCCAAGTGGTAGAACACACAAAGGAGAGCCATGGCCATGAGCAACACTGGGCAGAGCTCAGGGCATTCTCTGCTCATTTACAAATGACTCACTTCACCCGTGGTCAAGGATCATCTCCTAAGATACTGCAAATGATACTTCAGTAAAGTACAATGAAAAAGGACAAAAAGAAATGAAACCTACATAGACATTTCTGGGCCCTTTCTTCATAATTATCCTCAACGGACATCATCAACTGGTATTTCCAATGCTCACTGCACATTCCCGTACTGATGGGTCAGCCTCCCAGCATAGATCCACTCGGGTGCATTCTGAAATCAGTGATGTCGGAAATAGCTGTGGGACCTGCCTGCGAGGGGCGGCCTGCAGATCAGCTTTCTTCCAAGGCTCACTTTCCAGGTATCCACATCTCCCTCTTCCACCTTGAGTGGCTACTTCTGATGAGGGTGCTTCAAATGTTAACCGACAGCTCTTCTCCCAAGCCCACATTTCACTGCTGGTTAAAGATCTTCTATCGTATCCCAGGCAACAAGGCAACTTTCCTGCAGATAAAACCAGTCCCTGGGCTAGGAAACTCCTCCCTGCTAATCCCTTCCCAGCGTCCACAGCCCCCCTCCGCCCCCACCAGGCAGGGTCCCTGAGTGCGCATGCGCGCAGCATCCTCCCTCCTGACACTTATACCCGCTGCTCTTTTACTCTGAAACCTTCTGGGAAACGCTTAACCATCTGCGATTCTGTGATGTCAGCCCCGTCAGGCGCTCTTCCCCTCATTTTATCTGCTATTCGAGAGCTGCTATCGTGGGTCATGGGGGTTAAAGGAGTATTTAAAGCCTTAGTAACTTAATAGCCAGGTCTCATGTGACAGCCGCCCCACTCTATGGCCTGTGCCTTTTGAGGGGCAGTTGCGGGAAGGATTTTGGGAGCTCGCGGCAGTCAGCGTGTGGGAATGTTACTTCACGTCAAGATCTAAAAATAGCCGGGTTCGTGTTCACCTAGATCCTCCTTAATTGCAGAGAGTCTGCTCTCAGGTGCCATTTTCCTGATAATTTCGCTTTCTCCTGACCCAGAACACAGGTTGGGGATGGTCTTCACCTCTTCAGCAGAAGGGAGAAGCCAAGGGCCTCCTTCAGTATTTTGCTGCATGATGAAAAGGTCACATCTGAACCTTGTGTCCCATCCCCTCATAGAACACAGTTTGGTGTTAATTGCAGACACTGGTTGATGGCACTGCCCCACTTGGGGAAACATTGCTGGTCTCCTCCGTCTTAGCCAGTGTAGGTTCACCCCGGATCGATGGAGCATGAAGCCTGTCTTATTTTTGTGCTTCACAGATGCTAACAACATAGAATCGTCTCTTCGTAGCCTCCAGAAATTCGTTCCGACAGATTATGCCAGCTACACTCAGGAGCATTACCAGTTTGCCGGCAAGAAGATCATCATCCAAGAGTCGATAGAGAGCTATGGAGCCGTGGTGTGGCCAGCGGTGAGCGCATGGTGACGTTTGTGCCCTTAGTCTTTCTGAAGATGACAGTTTTGTACATCTGTGTTGCTGTGGGCAGGTGGCCACATACTTCTATCTCTTGTGCTTCTCAAGTTGAGGATGGATTACCTGGTCCCCCAGAGATGCTGGTGGTGTGCTTGGACCCCAAAGAAGCATAGCATTTCCTTCGGAAGCATTGGTTTTGCTTTAAGCGATGTTCCTTAAACAATATTTTTATGTTAAACAACCCTGACCTTATTGGGAAGTAGAATGCAGCATGAATACAATTGCTAAGTAAAAAAAAAAAAAAAAGAATATCAGGAATTTAGAGTTTAGACTTTGCCATAGGCACCTTTGGGTCACACCCACTGGCTCTTGGCCATCCATACCTCCTTGACTTGATGGACATTTTCACAGAAATATTTAGGAGGTATTATTCCACCTGATGTCACCCCTGTGACGGCCCAGCAAGGATGGTGCAAGAATGGAGGAAAACCTGCCATTTTCAAGCTGCAGGGGCCCAGGTGCTCACTGCACCTCCAATTGCCTCCATTTCCACATTTGAAACCTGGAGTAGAGGTAATGTCTAGTTCCTGACATGGTTATAACAAATGCAGGGCTACACGTAAGCCTACATTAATTGTAATTATTAATGCAACACTATTCTCACCTCCTGACTAAGGACAAGGGAGTTCAGAAAGCTTCCTTGGCTTGATGATAAAGCCATTCTCCTGGGGCACACATGGCTCTTTCCACCTAAAGGCTGTCAGCCTGAGCTTAGAAAGGCTCCAGAGCAGAACTTCTCAGCCTTTCGGTTCTGAGTCACACTGATATCTTATTAAATGCAGACTGTGATTCAGGTGTGGAATGGTGTGAGTGTGTGCATGTCTGTGGTCCTGCATATCTTAAAAACTCCCCAGTGAGGCACATCTCCTGGTTCAGGATCTCGAGCAGAAGTTCATGACAAGAGGTTCTCAGGAGCTGTCCAGGCAGTCCTGGGAAGTGGTAGCAAGTGAACTGGGAGAAGAGGAGCCAAAGGGTCCCCGGTTTTTAGGGTTCTGCTCCCTTCTAAGCAGAACCTTATTCATGAGTATGATTCTCTTCAAACAAAGGCTTTCTTTTGCTTTAATAAGTTTGATAATACCTAATGCCTTCCGAAGCTTCCTATTCTAATGCATTTAGCAAATAGACAACCAGAGCGGTGGTAACAGATTAGGAATGGAAACGGCACATTTGTCCACTCAGTTGTTTTACGCTAAGGCCTCAGCCATTTATGCACCCAAACCCACCTCTCTTGGGATCCCCTGAAAGCTTTAGGAGAATCGGATGTCAAGTGGGAAGACCCTCTGGGTGCCTGCAGGGGCGGAATCTGTGAAGGAGCTCCTTTTAGAGTTTGCTCACAGGGCTAAGAGGGATGGGTGTTTGTCATGTCAAAAGTTGTAGCTGTTCCTGAGAAGGCTTTTATCTCCAGATGACCCCTGACTGGGGCCAGACCCTCCTGGAGGACAGGGCAACATGTGTCCTCTGGCCATGCCAGTGACACTCTCCTCTTATTGAATGCCTTCACAGAAAAACTCAACTCCTTCCTCAAAACTCCCCTTCTCAACTCTGAGTGCCTTGCCAAGTGCTGCAGGTTGGTGCTATTTGACACCATTGTCTCACCAGGTGGCCTCACCTGGAGTGCCCCGCCCCCTCATCTTTCCACACTTGGCTCACCTCTCCCTGGCACCCAGAATGCAGCCCTGACTCCCAGCAGCCTCTATCATGTGCTGCCCCCAACCTGGTATATATCTATCTCCCTGAAATCATTGCAATTAGTTTATAATTGGTTTGCTTACCTCTAGCTCTGCCACCAAATACCTTGGCAGTAGAGAAAAAGGTGATATTCATGTTTGCATGTGTCCATTCCCTATGCACACATGAGGATGAAATAAAGTGACTTATGGGGTAAAATCTGCAGTACTAGCCTTGTTACTGGCAATCATAAGTGGCAGGTCTGGAATCACCCTGGCCAACCTAGACTAGAACCTGGAGTCCAGAGGCAGAAGAGCATATCTATATCTGGGGCCAAAACATAAAAACCAATTATAGAGCTCAATAGTTTTTCATCTCAATGTTCCTTCCCCAGTGCTAGGCTACTTAAATAACTTTCTTATGCACAGTTGTTCTTGTTCTCTCTAGCCCAGGGCATTGCTAGTGGACACTTCCTTTACATAAATAACGCCTGGAGAAGCAATGCAAATCGAACATTCATTTTCTCTTTCCAGAAATGTCAGGACGGGGCTGGGGATGTGGCTCAAGCAGTGGCACGCTCGCCTGGCACGCGTGCGGCCCGGGTTTGATCCTCAGCACCACATACAAACAGGGATGTTGTGTCCGCTGAAAACTGAAAAATAAATATTAAAAATTTAAAAAAAAACCCAGAAATGTCAGGACAAGGTAGAGACAGAATAGAATGAATAAAGGAGAGAGATGGTTGGTTTCATGTATAATGAACAACTTGTCCATACTCAGAGTGTGGTCAGCAGGCCAGCAGGCTGGCTTCACTGGGAGCTTCTCTAGACATGCAGAATTTTGAGACAGAGCTACAAGAGAAGGATCTGCATCTTTAATAAGCTACCCCGGGGCATTTGTTGGCACACTAAAGTTTGAGAAGCACTGTTTTTTTTTTTTAAATCCTTATTTGTTATATATAACAGTGGAATGCATTACAATTCATATTATACATATAGAGCACAATTTTTCATATTGCTGGTTGTACACAAAGTATATTTACACCATTCACATCTTTTTAAATGTACTTAGGGTAATGATGTCCATCTCATCCCACCATCTTTTATACCCCTATGCCCCCTTCCCTCCCCTCCCATCCCTTTACCTTATCTAGAGTTGATCTAATCCTCCCATGTTCCCTCTCCCAACCCCACTATGAATCAGCCTCCTTATATCTGATAAAACATTTGGCATTTGTTTTTTTGGAATTGGCTAATTTCAATATTCTCCAACTCCATCCATTTACCTGCAAATGCCATGATTTTATTCTCTTTTAATGCTGAATAATATTCCATTGTGTATATATGCCACATTTTCTTTATCCATTCATCTACTGAGGGGCATCTAGGTTGGTTCCACAGTTTAGCTATTGTGAACTGTGCTGCTGTAAACATTGATGTGGCTGTATCCCTGTAAGTATGCTGTTTTTAAGCCTTCTATACTTTGGGTATAGACCAAGGAGAGGGATATCTGGGTCAAATGGTGGTTCCATTCCCAGTTTTCCAAGGAATCTCCATCCTGCAGAAGCGCTGTTCTGATAGTCTGTTTCTTTGATGAACCATTTAAGAAAACAAGAACCCAAGAAACAACCCAGTTGTCCAAGATAGCACAGTCCTAACGAAGCTGAATTTTGATTGATTGGGAAGAGAAGTTTTCAAGTTGATACAACACTCTAAATGCAGCTGCAGGCCCAAAATGATGAAATCAGGGGAAGAAGTCGCTGTTTAGCTACATCTCCCCAATTTGTAAGAGCTGAGCTAATTTACAGATCTCCACCCCCTGCTTTTTTTGGGGGAGGGGGGGAATTGGTCATAGCTAGTATAGTCAATTTAATGAATTTGTTTCTCCAGTTTGTGACATGCAATTTATTATAACTTTTATGTTCCAGGGGTCTAAATATGGCATTGAATGAGATTTTGGTTCTTTTGAACCCTTCAATAAATAGAAAATAATGTCTTTCAGTCTTTAACTCTGAGGGTAGAGGGGTTGCTCCTGGTGTCCAGTGTTCCAGTTCTCAGGTGAAAGTCCTGGTTGTTCCTGTGTTTTAGGCTACAGCTTTGTGCCAGTATTTGGAAGAACATCAAGAGGAGTTGAATCTCCAAGATGCCAAAATCCTGGAAATTGGTGCTGGACCAGGCCTTGTTTCCATCGTGGCCAGTATTCTAGGTTTGTTCCTTCCTTCCTTCCTGATCGTGTTGTAAAAGACCTTCACGGTGACAATGACAGAGTGCTTTTTGTGTGGCAGGCAGGCTGTGGTAGGAGCTTGGCCACAATTTCACTCACTGTATCTCCCCAAAATGCCATGCGCCAGGAATCGTGACTGTCACCTGCAGAGATGACCGAGTCCTGGAGAGGCTGAGCAACTCCTCGAGCTCACCTTGTTTTCAAAGTGACTAAGTTGAGAGTCCAGAGGTGACTCTGAGCCCTGGAGGTCTTCACCTCAGGAGTGGGGTGGAGGGTTTGCAGTTACTGACATCTGGGGGCGGGGGAGGGAGAGACTGGGGAGCCTACTAATCACCTTGCTGTGTTCAGAATCGGCCCACACACAAGAAAGAACTGTCCAGCCTGAGCTAGGGCAAGCGCAGGCCGAGGGGCCTGGTTCTCTTATGATCTCCCGGAGTGTATCAGTACTCTGGCCGCCCGAAAGTTTCCAGGTGATTGTTACCATCTCTCTCTCATTTAGGAGCTCAAGTCACAGCAACGGATTTACCTGATGTCCTGGGAAACCTTCAGTACAATCTCTTAAAAAATACCCTGAAATGCACAGCACATCTGCCTGAAGTGAAGGAACTGGTGTGGGGGCAAGACCTGGAGCAGAACTTCCCCAGGGCAGCCCTGCATTACGACTATGTCTTGGCCTCTGACGTGGTGTACCACCATTACTTCCTGGACAAGCTGCTCCTCACCATGGTGCACCTTTCCCAGCAGGGGACCGTGGTACTTTGGGCAAACAAGTTCAGGTTCAGCACAGATTATGAATTCTTAGATAAATTCAAGCAGGTTTTTGATACGACTCTCTTAGCTGAATATCCAGAGTCAACAGTCAAACTTTTTAAGGGGACATTAAAATGGGACTAAATAAAACAACTTGTCTTTCAAAATGAGTCTCTTTTGAATCATGTTAGAAGTGGCACAGGCAATCGGATTCACAACTCGTGAACTTACAAGATGTAACTTAATACTAAAGCAACTTTAAATATATTTCAGATTATTTGAATAATAAAATATCTACAGAGAAAAACATAACATGAAAGTAATTTTGTTGACTTGCAAGAGTCTCAGTTTGTGTTCAACGGGTCTGACACGAGTAAGTTAATGAACAAAGGGATTTCTCCCTTGTTTCTGCTGTTGAGCTCAGGTTTTGCACTTGTCAACATACTTTTTCACATGCTTTTTGACACTGAGCTTGAAAAGGTCATTATAACAGTTTGAAGAAACTACTCATACAGATTTTAACTGTAGCAAAGGGGAAGAATTTTGAGTGATAGAAAATGTATCGGTTTCACATTGATTAAAAGTAGAAAATACAGAAACTGCTGGAATGAAGAAACAGGTTCTGTCTTAGGAACTTCTTAGGAGAATTTGTACAAATCCCCTCCCTTTGTGTCTATTACCTGTGACAGTTTCAAGGTGAACTTCTTGATTGTCTTGTTTCTTTGTAATTTTATGATCAAAGTTCTTAAATATTATGAAAGAATGGAATTTTTAGTCCGATAAAAGCTATAGAAAATTAAAAAAAAATAACATACTTAAGAAATTGAGCTTATCCTTTGAGATAGGGAAGAATTTAAAACTCTCAGCTACCACTGTTTCTTTCTTACTTTACACTGGAGATTTTAGCTAATGTGGTAAAATAAAGAAAATAAATAAAACAGAAGAACTAAAAACTGCACTATTCACAGATGATGATGATTGTGCTGTGCCAGGCTAGCAAACTTTCTGTAAAGGGCCAGATAATAAATATTTTAGACTGAGCAGGCCACTCACTGTTTCTGGAGACTGTTCCTTGCTTTTGGGCATTTACAATCATTTATTAAAAGGTTAAGAACTATTCTTGGCCTGTGAAAACAGGCTGTGAGTTGGATCTGGCCTGCAGGTCATAGTTTGCTGACTCCTGGAACTGTAGGCAATCTACAGTGGAATTACTGGAATTTGAGTTTAGCAAGCCTGTCAAATGTCAACAGGCAAATCTCAACATCACTTATAAATTCTAGCCACAAATAGAAAACAAAATTTCAATAAAGACACAACTTATAATGCAATGTCAAATATATAGAAATAAATATATACCAAAAATATATGAGAACACAATTTATAGCAATGTTTTAAAAGCTTAATGATATCTAATGAAGAAACAAACCAAGTTTGTACATTGGCAAACATTTCAAAGCTGTCAATTTTTTTTTCCAAATTTATCAACACGTTATGCAGTCATTACCAAAATCCCAGTATGCATGCTTGTGCAACTCGTCCAGCTGATTCTAATTAAAATGAAAAGGTCAAAAGGAACAGACACACTCCTGAGGAAGAACCTGGAAGACATACTTTGAGGTCAAGAACTATTCTAAAGATGTGATGATTGAGAAAGCAGTTAGTATTGGTTGCTAAGACTACTACATGGTTATTTCTAAAAGAACTTTAAAGACACTTATAATTTTTTTTTTTTAATTTAAGGGTAAAATACATATTCTAGATATAATTTCAAATATTTATTTGCCTGTGTTCTCCTTGATTGATGTTGTCAATTAAGAACATGAGTCTCCAAGGAATACCATGGTGATGTTTTAAAATATTCCTTAATTTCTGCAGATAGATTAAAATTTCTTCTCTTTCAAAATAACTAGTATTAATCAACTAACATCAAGAGCTCTCTGATAAAAATCTCATTTGCAAGATTTTAAAATTAATACTTAAAATAATGAGAGAAAAAAATTTTTATATTCTTTTGGTTTTAATTTAAATTTGATTTTATTTTTTTAAATACACAACAGCAGAATGCATTACAATTCTTATTACACATATAGAGCACAATTTTTCATATCTTTTTATATAAAGTATGTTCACGCCAATTCATGTCTTTATACATGTACTTTTTTTGCATTACAATTTTTATTACACATATATACCACGATTTTTCATATCTCTGTATATAAAGTATGTTGATAACCAATCCGTGTCTTCATACATGTACTTTGGATAATGATGTCCATCACATTCCACCATCCTTGCTAATCCCCTGCCCTCTCCCTTTCCCTCCCACCCCTCTTCCCTATCTAGAATTCACCTATTCCTCTCATGCTCCCCCTCCCTACCCCACTATGAATCAGCCTCCCTTATATCAGAGAAAACATTCTGCATTTGTTTTTTGGGGATTGGCTAACTTCACTTAGCATTATCTTCTCCAATGCCACCCATTTACCTGCAAATGCCATGATTTTATTTTGTGTCTCCTACTTCCACCAAGTAGATAAACAATAAAGTTAATTCTCGGCTGAGGCAAAAGCCTTAATTTCCTTCTCTCAAAAGGGAAGAAAAATGCCTTTTGCAATGACCTCTCCTAGAATATAGAAATCATAAGATCAGGCCCCCAAAGCAGACGAACAGTTGTAGGAAATGACAGATGTCTTCACAGCTGGACAATATTTGGCAAGCAGGGGATGCTCACCTAGATTCCTGATGACCCACCCAGTGGCTGCTGCCTCTGTCCAATGAGCGAGGGTGGGAAAGGTTAAGTCAATCTGGACATCATTCGTTCGTGTGAGTTTCAGTAACCAAGTCAGTTCAGTTAATATTAACATAGGCATGTTGGTAAACGGAAAACAGAGTTCAGAAGTTGACCCACGTGTGTGGTCAACTGATTTTGACAAAAGTGCCAAGATAATTTAATTGGAAAGTATAGATTTTAAAACCAGTGGTATTAGAATGATCATAAACACACACACACTCCTGAACCTTCTTTCACTGCATACACAAAAATTAAATTGAAAGAGGTCATAAACCTAAATTCAAGAGCTACAGCTATGCCAATTGTAAAACTTCCAGAAGGAACCAAGGTAAATCTTCATTACCTTGGGTAGCTGTGATACCAGAAATACAAATCATAAATGAAAAAAATTGTGATCTTAACCTTATCAAAATTAAAAATCTTTACTCTTCAAAAGACACCATTAAGAAATACACTGGGCTGGGTGCAGTGGTACACACCTGTAGGCTGAGGCAGGAGGACTGCAAGTTCAAGGTCAGCCTTAGTAACTTAGTGAGGCCTAAAGAAACTTAGTGAGACCCTGTCTCAAAAAATAAAAAGGGCTGGGATATGGCTCAGGAGCATAGTGCCCTTGAGTTCAATTCCTAGTACCAAAGGGGGAAAAAAACCAACACTGGGCAAAAATGTTTATGAAGCATTTCTGGAAAAGGGGTTGTATCCAAAACTCCTACAACTCAATAATGGGACAGACAATCCAACTGAAAAAATAAGGGTGGTGGCGGCGGACTAGGACAGAAACTCCACCAAAGAAGATACACAAATGTTTATTATTTGTAATAGAAATGCAAATTAAATCCACAATGAGATACTAGAACTCAACCAAACACTAGAATAACTAAAGTTAAGAAGCTGAAAAATATCAAGTATCTGTGAGGGTGTATAAAACTTTCACACTTTGAAAGTGGGGATGCAAGATGGTATAGCCACTTTGGAAAACAGTTTGCTGGTTTCTTCCAATGTTTGAAAGGAAATATACCATTCAACAGCAGTTTTCTTTCTAGATGTGGGTAAACAAAATGTGTTTACATCGTACAATGCAGAACTACTCAGCAATATAAATAACCAATACACCCTATAGCTGGTATTCTGCAGAAAAGACAAAGCTCCCCAACACTTCTTGATCCACTGTCCCTGGGGACCAGAGTGCATGTGCAGAGACCTGCCTACAGATGCCCAGGTGTCCTTCCTATTAGAATGACACACCTTCCTTTCCTGGAGTTCCTAGGAAGGGATGTGTCTGCTTCCTTTTTCAATTTAGTGTCCTTTACTAACGATGTTGGTTTTCTCGTCTTGGTTTATAATGTTCAGACTCATGGTTCTGAGCTCATTTATTTCTTACTCTTGAAGAAACCCCCTCCCTGCAAGTTGTTTTTGGATGGGCTAGTGGTGAAAAGGGGCCCTCTTATCCATCTCCCTACACACAGGCTTCTTGGATCCTAGAGGTGAAGAAGATACACATATATTCCTAATGCTGTTGGGCTGTGAGTGCAGAGAATGAAAACTACACAAGACTGTTAATTCAGATTAAATAATTTTTGAGCCGGAGCTCACACACCAAATCCAACACTGTAGTTTCCTGGTCAGGCATAGGCTTGTCATTGCCTGAGCCAGGTTAGACAGCAAGGCTGCACTTCCAGCATTGCACCCTGGACTTCTTGGGGTGGGATAAAGTGAAAAAGAGGTGTCTTGAGATTTGTGGTGTCCCAGAGGAGGATCATGCTGGACTGTTCTGGGATAAAGATGCAGGTAATATTAGGACTGAGAAATCACATGACAGCAAAATCACCAGTAATGATCGGGAGCTGCTTATCACTGGAAATGGGTCACGGAACTAGTATTGAGCACACACTCTGTAATGTTTCTTTAAAAAGTTATCTTTACCCACCTCTTTGTTTTCAGTGGGTATGGGGCAAACGCTGGCTACTCTGACCAGAAGCAGACTGAAAAACACCATCTTACCTCTTGCATCCTTTCTTACATTATTCTTAATCTAATCACATAGAAAGAAACAGGAATGATTTTGCTGACATGTTCTTCTAGAGCTCACTCAGGTTCTCCTGTCCCCAAGGCAGCACAGTAAGATCTAGACAGAACCCAGCAGCTGCCCCTGGCTGTAACATTTGTGAAGCAATGTGCAGTCCAATAAAACCCTCATTACAAAAACAGAAGGCCCCAGGGCCATGACCAATTGATGTAGGAACCTGCCCGAGGTGGTCAAAGAATCAGTCAGTTGGCAGGGTGAGCTTGAGAAGTAGTCCCGGTACTCTTTCCAGATTTTCATTCTCTTACAGGACTAAATCTATACTATATGGGG